AAGTAGTACAGTGTATCGCAAGGGGAAACTAAAACGACGATAAGGCGAAATCATAGACAAAAGAATTTCCCCTTAAGAGCCGAATAAGGGAAATATATATATATATATATATGTAATATATATATATATATGGAATATAAATCATCAAAGGTACATATACAGTGTTTTAAATAAGGACATGATGGAAAATCGTAGGCTACCCTGTAGCTTTTCAACGAATAAAGTCCTATAAAAGTCATTGTGTAATAGTAAAATGCCTCCGACGGGATTCGAACCTGCGACCTCTCGCTGACAAGGCAAGCGTCATAACCACTAGACCACGAAGGCTTCGTGGTTATTACACAATGAATTTTGACAATTGTAATTTAAAAACAGAAAATTACTGCCACGAATAAGCAGTGGTGCCATGATCATGTTTGCATTTGGCGGATGTATGTAATAAGGTAGCAATCTGTATTCTAGGCCAGCCCTCAGTTGAAATAATTTATTTTATCAAGTTTTCTTTTAGTTTTGTTTTTGGAAATAAACTGTAAAAGAAGCAGGAACTATGAACATATAAACAGACTTTACTTCTGGAACGTGTTAAAACAATCAAAGGGGGTTAAGTGATAAAAAATGCTCCCTGCTGCTAACCCATGCTGCTTTCCTTCCTTTTGCAGTGTTGGATTATCAGCGGATATCAGCAGGCGGTCCGCGTTTAACACCCGTTCGGGCTAGAACTAGAAATGGCCGTTTTCCGGCTTTATCCCGTGTTAGACTCCACAAAAAACTTGCCCGAACGCACCCCATATTTGCACAAGTAACATGAGGAAACGTCACCATTTACCAAATTTTCAACTTTTGAACCAGGTTTTGCCGATCTCTTCTTATCTCTTTTAATTACTGCTTCAGGCAATTTTGTAACAAGATTAACAGTGAAGCTCATTAGTTGTGAATAGTTCATAAGAAGACTAGCACAATTAAATCAAAAACCATGTTGTAACTTCTGACACAAGTCATTGATTTTTAAAATTCAAAAGCATATCTATTATGATTTTTATCTGAAATTATAGCTAAGGTAATAAAAATGGCAAATTTTTTTGAACAGGTTTTTAAAATTCTCCAGGATGGTTTTTAATTACAATACTGGTAATTTAATGAGAAACAGCAATGCATGCTGTGATAATGACTCTTAAGCTAAGTTCATATGGGATTATAGCCAGATGAAGTAGCTGATCTACTTGCCAAGTTAATTGGATTAAATCCACTAATCGAGTTCGACATTAAGGTTTAGAGTGAGATATTTTGACTACCAGAAATTCGGAAAACACATCATTAGACAGGAAGTACAATCGCATGGTGGGCAATTACTGTTGATTTTCGCGCGACTAGTTTATGCTAGATCGAGACTATAGGCGTAAGCTAGGCCTAGGTCTAGGCGGTTGATTAGACTGGCCAAGGAGTCCAGCTGGAGGGTTTACATTGGTTTTTCCCCCCAAGTATTTTGTTTAGTGCGTGGTAGTGTGGGCATGCTGATTTCGGGTCATCCCTTATTACATTGGCCGACCCCTTGCCCGTCCCACGAATAAAAACGTCTCTCACAGCCTTGTGTTCTGCTCTTAGATTTTTCAACTTTGTCACAACAATTGCCGATGTTATGCTATTGTGGCGCATTCTCTCTGCTATCCTTTCATGGACACCAGCCTTCTGACGATACAATTTATCTTCAACTTTTTCGGCGATTTCTGGCTCCCTCCCGATATCTATTAAATATTCCTGCGCATACGTCCAGAGATGCCGTTTCTTTACTGACTTTTCGGCCATCATTTGCAAAATAAGACTTGTTGAAATTAAAGTACACAGATCAGGGAGACTGCGTCAATTCTGAATGGTGTTTATGACAGTAACTAAAAACGCGCTAACCAGCGAGCATGGAAGGTCACTTTGCTTCAATTTGATTGGTGTATTCGTGACCTGTGGCCACCCGTTGTTTAATTGTTTACTGGCTTTAGGCTGGATTAAGAAGTTAGTCGACATAAATTTACTCGACGGGCTTAGTCGAGTTGTGGCCTTCATCTCGCCATACTTGAGCGGTCATACTCAAACTTATGGCGAGATCATCTAGCTCATCCACTAAAATTATCTCGCCATAGTTGGATATGAACAGGGCTTTAGGGCCGATTCGGACGAGTAAAATTTAACTGGGTACCACCAGCTGAGCGGTCGCGTGCGGCAATTAAATAATGCCCCTGGGTATAGAAAATTCGAAAAACATCTGGCCCAAAAACCCACCTTTTTTGCTGGATATTTCAATTACACCTTGCCTCAAGGCGTAATTAATCACTCGTAACAAGGCCCAGGTCAGAAGTTGACCCTTCAAATTTGTAAACAATGCCGGGTCAGAGTGCACTGGACAAAAAGAAGCTCGCGACCACGCTGCATGATTCTTCGCGTTGTTGCCCAAGCTTTCTTTCCACGCTGGTCGTTGTCTTCGTCATTGCTGTACTTTCTTCGTCGAAAAGCTTGGTTTAGATTGAATCCGTCGTCGAGAAGCAATATAAAAGTTGTCAGGATAGTTAGGTCGGCTGGGTTAATCATAATTCGGCGTCAATTTGTAAGGATAATCGCAAGGAAATGAGTAAATTTTATAAAAAGTAAGCAGAAATAGCATAAATTCGTGTATGAAGTATTGAAATTGCCGCGAAAACATTGCTAATTTGACACAGGCTCTTCAATCAGGTCACGAACTATTCAGAATTCTGACCTTGCAGAAGCTTGTAAAATACGTAACTTCCGTCAAATTAATGGGTAAATGGATTGTTATTTTACTCGTCCGTCACATTTAGCCCCGAGGTTATATAGTAGATTACCCATGTAATTGAGTTTATGTCCGAATCCAACCTTAAGTAGAGGTATTCTTCTTTGATGTTTAATTGGATTATTGAGATAAGATTCTGGCAAAACCTGGTTCATCAACCCGCCTGAATGCCCTTTTAAAGGGTTTGCTGGTAAATGGGGTAGTAACAGCATGTTAACATTGTTTATTTAGCAGATTAATCTCGCTGATAACAATTGTACTATATTCAGCTGGTGCATATGAACTTCTATTTAGCGACATAATTTCATTATTTTCTTTCCAAAAAATATTAAACGTTAAATTGCAACTTATATCGACTTTTGAACGATAAAATCGGCTCAGTATAACCCAGAACATACTGCTGTTACATCTTCTAGTTTTCCCCCACCGTTGTATTTAGGTACATGCTACAGTACACACAATGAGCCTACAACTTTGGATAGCAGAGTTCCGCACGAGTGATTCAGCCCACATCTCTATATGTCTGAGTTAATGCATGAATGGTTTTATGTACCTTCTCAGCACTTTTTTCCTACCCACATCTTTATATCTAATTTTGCTGAGAGTTCCGCTTCAACAATTTCGTGTAACATTTGGTATCTGTGCATGACATGTTTCCAATGAGGGATTTATGTGTTGAGATGTTAAGCATAATCTCAGAAGATAGGCAAGCAGCTGACTCTCTTTTGCTGAATTTTTTTTTTCTTCTTTTTTGCTTTAAGCTGCTAGCATCTAGCTATTGTAGTGTTGCTTGATTTTGTATTCTTTGTTGTTGTTTTTAAAATAAATGAAATAAATGTTGGGAAAATTTGAATTGCTTCTTTTGTAAATCTGCTGTCAATTTAACAGTCGAATTTATGTATCTTTTATTTGAATTGCTAAATAGGATGATTTATATAAAAGAATGGTGGTGGTGGTGGTACTATAATCTTTATATTTGAAAACGGAAAACTCTAACCAGAACTATTTTTATTTTATGCAAAATTAAAGTAATAAGGCCTAAGCAATGCTCTTATCAAAGTTTCATAGCCTATCTTCCCTAATTTAGTGTGATTGGGATTCAAACATGATAAATAGATAAAAATGCCTTGTTTTTTTACATGTTTTATACAATAAACTATTTGCATATACTGTAACTGTGAGTATTAAATATACAATTCAGCTACATAACTTAGCATGCCTAATTACCTTGAAGACATTGGGCATGCATTGTCAATCATGAATACAAATGCTGGAATGAATACATATGATGGAAACTAAACATAAAAAAAATAAATAAAAAATAAAAAGTCATTCTTGCTGCACTATTAAATAATTAAATTGTATATATATATATATATATATAATGCATTGTGAAAACGAGGGGAAAATATAAACTACTAAAAATTGGTTTATATACAGTAAATATTTAATTGATTTTTTGTATTAGACTGTGTTATTAAAAATTCATTGATCTCAAATTGTGGTAAACACAAAACAGCAAATCCATTGTGAAAAAACAAAAACTAAAAATATTTTTTACATATATACTGTACATCTAATTATTACAAATTCATTAGGAGATTATTATTGAACTTGAATGATCTCAATAGGACAAATACAAAATAGCACAATCAGTAGCACTGAGTACCTGCACTTGGCTGATTAAATTACAATCACTAAAAACATTTGTTTATGTATATGCAGTTAATTAACTTCAAAACTTTCTCTCACCTCGCTAGATTGTTTTTGTTTATTGTTTTCTTTGTTTTCTTATTTTTGTATTGCTTTATTGCATTAGTTAAGTTAGCTCACATGGGTTTGGTTCTATGCAAGCTTTACTCGGGGGGATGTTTCTGACTTATTGTGGAGAGTCGCTTACAGCGCTTCGTAACTGAAAAGAAGGGCACTTAACAAGTGGATTCACCACTGTAAACAATGGTATCAACAGCAAACCATACAATAGGTTTGACCTCGGGCATAATCACCCATGCAGAAATTACAATGTTATTGGTATTCTACTTAGTAGTTATTTTCTTAATGCGCCCTTCACCTTTGCTCCTCTTCCTATATTATTTTTCCTCAATGTTACATGAAGCTTCATGAAGTTCCAATGACTAGGGTAATAATGTTTTTAAGTTTCTGTATATTTTTTTTATGTTTGTTTTTGTTCTACTTTTTTGGTTCATGTCATCCACTAGTGAGATCAGTGCTGCGTCACTGAAAGTGTTATCACGTTAAAGGCAGAATAAATAAATAAATGTGGAAAAGTGCTCTTAGACTTGTATAGAGTGCTATATAAATACCTACATTATTATTATAATTATTATTATTATTAATATTATTACTTTGATGTGTTAGAGGTTTTAATAATGATTATTATTAACGTACTGTACGCTACTAAAATATACTGTATTTTAATATTTTATAGGTGCTGGAATCTTTGTAACAACGATGGTTGCTGGGTCCATAGCCTGGGTCTCTACATTCCAGATTGCAGAACGGCCTTTTTTACGTGACGCCATTTTCTATATTGCAGCTGTTTATTGGACATACCATGTGCTGTGGTATGAGACTATCAATCTAGCAACCTCAATAGGTAAAAATATCTTACTGTTTTATATTGTGATAAAGTTATTGAGTTATATTAGGATCATAGGGAGCTAACTACCTGTATGAATTTGTGTAAAAATGCAACAATTATCTTATTCCGTTCGGGTTTGTTTTATTGGCAACAAAGTATAATTATTGGCTCTGACCAGGGAACAGTGAAGCTCTCACTGTCTTTGTTATGTAGTCTACTCACCATTAATCTAGCTACATAATCATAAACAGTAATTATAAGTTCTGAAATATTCTGTGTGATAGCTGAGTATTAGTTTAGCAACCTTAATAGTAATCAATCACTGTCTAAATGTAGGAATAATTTGTGATATAGATTTATTGCCCAGATAATGGACTGTTATTGGCACATAATACATGAATTTAATGCGCATTATATATAATATATATTTATGCGCTTTGTTATTCAGTATTTGGTATATATATATATAATGTAAATTCAAAATATTGTTTTCAATAGGATTGCTTGGATTGTATGCTTTCTACGTTGTAGTTGTCATTATAGGCAGAAAAATCAACCAAGCAACAAGGAATAGAAATTCTCCGTCGCTTAGTAAGAATGATTTCAATGAACTTTACTTTAATTAATCTTGTAAACTCTGATGTAGCCATCAACACGTGTGTGCACTGCCTTGATCAAGTCTGTTTTTCCTTAAACATTTAAACCATATAAGATTTATTCACACTTTAACTGTCCATCCCTAGTTTACTTAGTCCAGACATCCCGTGTGGTGGACGACGAGATTTGCTGTTTAGCAAGCAGGCAGCATCAGGCCTGTTGAGTGGGTGGCCAGGAGAGGGGTACGTTGTATACATATGCACTCTCCCAAACTGTATTTTTAATACAGTCGAAAGTGTAAAGTTTGTTAGTTGACATTTTGGTGCAGATTTGCGATTCAACTTCTCAATCTTGGGCTTTGGTCAGTTCTCTACTGTGCATTTCACTTGTATCCTCTCTCCACTAAGGAAAACAAGTGCATATCTGGTGGTTCAAACACAAATACACTAAATACCACTGCCACATTATGGACTTTTCCTCAAGGACCTGAGTATGTGCTCCATATCCAATGACTTGGGTAGTAATGTGAAGCACTTAAAAGCCTTATTGGAATGCTATATACTTTTTATTCCTTAATAGCACTGTGTAGTGTAATGTTTACTTGTATTAACAGCAATTAATGGTAATCCTTTAGCTGACCCAACAACATATACTCAACCAGAAGATTCAACTCAAGTAGATGGACAAGAGACGAGACAACCCGCCGATATCAGAAGTAAGTTCAACATATTTTACTTAAAATTTTACTAAATTTTGTTTAGGTTTAAAGAAAACAAATGATTTTTATTTGAAAATAGCTGTGTACTAAATTTCAATGATATTTCCCTTATTGAACAAGATTAATAACTGAATGAGAGTGTTTTATTAAACTTGAAATATAAAACACTGTTAAAGATTGTCCCATACAACATACCAAAAAATTCATTTTTTTTTTTTTTAATTAACTTACCCATCTTGAAGTAACATAAAAACTTTAACATAGAAATTGATGTGCTAAATCATATTTACGTTTGATAAAAACAACATTTATTGATTGAATGACATTTATACCCCGCTGAAAAATGAACAGTTCTGAGTCGTCCACAACGCATGCACGTGGCTCTGCAAATACAATACTTGAGATTCGGTTCCCCGACATAATATTGTTGATGTTCGTAGCTCTCTGGTTATAATTAAATACCGTAAAGAAGATTTGTTGTTAACCTCACAAGTTAAATTTTATTAGTCAACAAAATATACGAGGTCTAGACCTATCTCTCGATTCGGAGGACCTAGAGTAGAATTTACACTAGACTAAGGCGAGAGATGAAGATGCAATACCTGCATAGCCTAGAAATACCATAGCCGTGCACAACTTACGTAGGCCTATATAACTGAAATATCTTTTTGATAGCTAATTCAACACTATTCCTTTGAAGACAAACTTCCAACATTTAAACACCTTTAAATGCCCTCTAAAGATCATAATTTTCTATTTTTTCTTATGTTTGGGAGCTCATCAGCTCAGGGCCTCGCCCACTGGCTTCCATTTTGGACGGCCTATTTCATTTTTCTGGCTAAGCCCCTGATTTTGTGTAACAAAAAAACGTGATAAAGTGCAGAACTATGGATCATACTGATCATTAATTCAATCTAAGGATTGACTATTAAAAGGTTTTAGTTTCTAATGAAGCGAAGTCTAGTTATTTCTGTTTCATAATCATTGGTTTACAATGTTATGTGAGGCTCTCCTGAAGCAGTTCACTGCGTGAACAAAAGCTTGTGTTTAATGATAGTCTTAAAAATAGTGTCAGTTTTTAACTGATTTTGTAGTTCAGACAGACACCTCAACCCCACTTACCACTATTACATGATGTAGCAAGTCTGTTTATTGGTAGTGAAAGAGAGATGTATTACCTCATTACCTGAATGTTAAATCTATTTTGTAAATATTTAAATAATTTCATGTGGTTTGCTTATTATTGTTGTATAACTGTTTTAATCATTAATAAACCAAACACAGTGTATGTTTGCAGTAAGTTAACATCCATTGTGTTGGTTTTATTAATAATTAAAACAGGTTTCTATCAATGGTCTTTGTGTTATATGTGCCATACATGCAAACTATATTTACATACATTGTCAATTGATTTAAAAAAAATTTGCCTACATAATTGATAAATAATGACCGAGTTGAGAGAAGCAAAGATGTTTGTTATTTCACAATGCATACCATGGTGTTTTAGAGGCTGAGTATTTTTCTGAATATAAAAAGATAAAGTAAAAATAAAAGTTTATCAAAAAATTATATGCAATAAATTATTTGAATACTTTTAAAACAAAAAGTTTTTGAACAATTGTTTTGTTCTTTGTTAAGATGGACTTACAGCAACACAGATTTTAGTTGCCTCGTCTGCTATAGCACGGTCTGCTAGTCCACATATGATAGAAGAAAACTCCCAAGTTCATACCCATAATCAAGGTAAGCTAAGTTTCAATAATTTTATTCACTTATGCACCCCTAACCACCACTCCCCCCCCCTCCCCTTCAAAACCAGGTCTAGCGGGAACTTGGCTGGGAATATAATTTTACAAAATTGAAATACATGTACAAATCCTCACCACCAGGCAATTTGGGAATCATTTTAACATACTTTCCCAGCTAAGTCCCAGCTATTATTTGCAGTACCAATACCCAAAACTCCAACTACATTGATGTTTAAAAATTCCGAGCCCTTTCCAATCCGATTACATGCCCGGGTCAGCCTCTGATACATTCCTTCACAATTTTAATTCAAGAGTTTTGAGCATGAACACCGGCATAATAATGTTAAGACTGCGAACAACTTGGATTTAATAAACATCTTATAATATATATTATTACCTTATAGAATCTAATTCAGAACTGCTACGGCTTCTTGGTGGAGGAAGGAAACCTGTTGACAAGACAATGCTACGTTTGTTTATAGAGGGCGTGTGTCCAATTAATCTTGAAGATTGGAAGGATTTGTCTATTCCTAATAAAATATATGAGGTTGTAAAAGTGAGTTGAAATAAAAGTACTTTTTAGTTTAAGTAATATTTTATTTACAAGAGCTAAAAATAAGTGCTCTTGCATTGTACCCACTATATCACAGCAATTTTGCTGCAGCCTGTGGAAAAATATACTTAAAATCCACCTACCATCTTTGGCTAGAAAACCTCTTGTTAAGGCCCAATGCCGAACATCTGTAAAAAGTAATATTTTTTTTTAAAGCAGTATAAAAAGTGTATGGAAGTGTTAACAAACTCAATAGAACCATCAAATTTTTTATTATACATTTGCTTGCGGCCCAATGTGTTAAAACAAAAATTCAGCTTCGGGGACCCAAGTCTCCCGCAACTCGTGGGCATCTCCAAAAAATCAGGACGGCTTCCCGCACTCCCACAAGCAAGCATGAATTTCACAGAAAATAACCTATCTCCCGCAAATTTATAAAATTTTGCATGTTTTCATGTTTTATCTTTTATCATAATAGCTGTAACCCTCTCATTAAAGACTCTCTCTATTTAGAAACCAAAGACTGATTTCAATGCACATAAATTGCACCAGGATGGGATTGAATGTCACCTCTGTTGATGTGCCTTACTAGTCTGATGGTAATAAATAAAACAGTGTAAAATTATAGTACTTTTAAAACTAGTTTTTTTTTTTTTAATAATGCACTACCTTTGAACACTGTGTTCCTCTTCAGGTGAAAGTTTGAATCATTATGTTTTGTATTGCTGTCTTCTGAGTTACAAGCATTCTGTCCACAAGATTCAGCTCCTTGTCTTAGATCCGCTGAAAAGTGCCTCTTATCTACCCCTATGTGTATGACCTTTTCAAGTGCCTCTTATCTACCCCTATGTGTATGACCTTTTCAAGTGCCTCTTATCTACCCCTATGTGTATGACCTTTTCAAGTGCCTCTTATCTACCCCTATATGTATGACCCTTTCAAGTGCCTCTTATCTACCTCTATGTGTATGACCTTTTGGGGTGCTCATTCATCTTCTGTGGCCGGAATGAAATTCCACTTACTAATTAAACTCAAGAATTGGTTGGCCAGTTAAAATCTGAACTTAAAACTTTTCATTTCAGATCTCACTTCTGTTAATTCATGTTTTTCTTTTTTGTTCATTGTTTGTGCTTTTCTTATCTTTTTTTTTGGATTACTTGCATTATAATTTTGAGGCAGCGGGGCCACGAGCATCTCCCTATGGATGGTAGAAATGTGCACCATATAAATCCCTATGGATGGTAGAAATGTGCACCATATAAATCCCTATGGATGGTAGAAATGTGCACCATATAAATCCCTATGCATGGTAGAAATGTGCACCATATAAATCCCTATGGATGGTAGAAATGTGCACCATATAAATAGGAATTTTGCAAGAGTCCAGTGCTAGACATTGTCACAAGTATTAATAATTTCTTGCAGGCTCCAATTCAGCTTCTACTTCTTCTAACTATTCCAGTTGTTGACTACGATGTTGAGAAGCATAATTGGAACAAGCCACTGAATACATTGCATATTATTTTTGGACCGATGTTGTTCATTTTTGCAACAAAGTGTGAGTTGACTAGTTATTAATATTTGATATCATATGATTGATCATGTTTCCTATCATGTTTTCTGGTAGTATTTGTGATTACTAGACCTTTACTTTGGCTTTTATCATCAGTTTTGATTGTAATTCGTTTATGTTTCTCAGTAAGCAACTATTTGTGATGTAAAATATCTTTACTTTGATCTATAATGTCAGTTTTGATTCACTTATGTTTTCTAGTGAGCAGCAAGTCAATAAGTGGTGGGTTTGTTGCCTGGCATTTAGTATTGTGTATATGTGTTGTGATTGCAATTCTTGTCTTCCTAACGTCAAAGAAAGAGCAACAACCAAAGTATCATCCTGTAAGTAGTCCAACACGGTCAGAGGTGGTCGGGAACATTTGGAGAAGGGGGAGTTCCTGTTTTGATATCGTAAAACCAACTTTTAAGAAAGAAAGAAATATAAAGTTGGTAATGAGAAAATTAATAGATTTATACATGGGTAAATTTGATGGGGTTAAGTATTGTCTGTTATCATATGATATAACATTGCCTACTGCTTTCATTTTTGTAGGCATATGCATATCTTGGATTTTTGGTGGCTGTTATATGGATATATAGTATAGCAAATGAAATTGTCAATGTCCTGCAGGTAACTCATTGTGTTGTTTACTTGATGTCAACATCATGAATATTCAGATTGTTAACACCTTATTTGGCACTCCTATCCACTAAGCCTTGTAATTTTTTTAGTTTAACATTATGTATTTTAATAATTTTAATATATTAAGAGGAGCTCAAACCGACAGACTAATGATACCCTAATTCTTGGAGATGATTGACTCCTGACCCTTTACATCGGATCCTGACTAACTTGTAACATAAATTGGCCACCATTATGCACTTGTGTGTATACGACAATGTAGATACAATACGAATGTGTATAGTTATGATACTGAGATTTAATTTCTCAAAGATTTAATCTCTCTAATGGTTTCTCCTTCGTTAAATTAAGCAAGACATGTGGACTAGAAAAAAAACTTGTGAGAAAGAACAATCAATTAAACTATTAAGATCATTGATATGGTGCTGGTTTCCATAATGAAGTTATATTGTGTTATGATATGTTGTGTTATGTTATGTTGTGTTGTTGTGTTATGTTATTCTATGTTATGTTATGTTATGGAGTTATGCTATCTACCCTGTTTTTAGTTATTATTTGTCTTACGCCTGGGTAACCATTTACCCCCCCCCCCCATTAGATGCAGTATACCAGAAATAAATACCCAAATTTCTTGTCACATTGCTTGTGTTCTTGGGCAAGGAACTTTACTTACATTTGCCACTCTCCACTGACAAATGGGTATCTGGTAGGATGATGTTTCGGCATTAAATTGTACGCACAACTATGAATGCTCCCCAGAGAGTGGAGGAGTTTGCAGTTTGAGCTGGTTTGATTATAGATCCGATGACCAAGGATCGCCAGTGCCTTGTATCCCAAGACATTATTATTATTATTAAATTTATTATAATAATTATTGGTAATATAATTATTATGACTGTTTTTATATTTCAGATGTATGGATCTGTTTTAAAAGTTAGTGAAGGAATCCTTGGTCTTACTCTTCTAGCATGGGGTAACAGTATAGGAGGTAGCCAGACAGTTACATTATATTACTTTATTATTTTTGAAATTTTAAGAACAAATATGAATCTCTCCATGTAGGGACATTTTTAGACGTGGCTCTAAAGAAGGGTAATCCTCAATATGAGCCCCAGCTTTTCTGCAGTTTTTTAATGAACAGTGCCATTCACTTCCCTGCTTTTTCTTTCCCTCAATTTTCCCTGTCAGTTTTGTCAGCTCAGTCCACACTATATATTTTCCCCCAATTATTAATGATTTGCCCATATAAGGACATAATCACAATCTTATTTGCCCATATTTGGACATAATCACACTCGTGAATGGGAAAATCGCAGGCATTTTTCACATAAAATTTAATAGTGTGGATAGAGCATTACAACAAAGAGGTCTGTCTCTCGAGGTAAACAATCAAACGAAAAACACAGTACTACCACCAGATGGGGGCGTCCTATTGGAATTCCCATGAAGTTAAAAACTTAAACAGGCGTTCTTTACATGCAGCATGTGTTCGATACAAATGACTTTTATGCATATATCTTTCTTTTTAATAGACGCCTCTAGGTCTTGATAGTACTTTTTGAGATTTTGTTTCGAGGAAACCCCTACACGAACCTCTTGCAGTTCCATACTCTTTGATTACAACTGTGATGAGCCTGTTGATTCATGTTGAATCTTTCAATTGTCCACAATTGTGATCAGGATGTGTCATGGGATTCCACTTCATGATGACAATAGGCTCTCATTTGAATTGTGGCCAAATGGTGCTTATTACATCATACAGATACTTGTTTTATGGTTATTTTTAGATTATGAAAGACTACTGCATTACAGTACTACATACATGTTATATATAACAAGAGTCAAAAATACTACTTAGTTGATTTAAGTATGGGTCATATGATGCCATATTGTATTGTATAGTCATCATCCATTGTTATTGTTTGCTTACTTACAGATCTTATTTCTAATACAACAATGGCTCGACAAGGCTTTCCAAGGATGGCGATATCAGCATGTTTTGGTGGTCCCTTATTCAGTATCCTTCACTTCAAGTGTTTTTTGTTATCAAATAAAAAATTATTTTTTATTTGAAATTATTCTCCATCATTAATCAAATAGGTGAAAGCTTTTACACCTTGTTTGGCGAACCCTTCTACCGCCAATACTGTTGATTTCAAATAAAAATAAATTCTATTTGTGGCCAGTTGGCGCATCCTCCGACACAAAAAAATGAAAATTCCAGGAAAAAAATATTTAATTTATTTTTATAATGCCCTCCGCTCTCCTGGAATCTCCAAAAATAGAACATATATATTTCTTTCTTAACTGTATACATTTAAAGCATTTAAAATAAAATTTTATTTTTATTTTCTCCTTTGGCTAGATGCTTTTGGCAAAATAATTTTGTTAAATGAGGCTTTGCTATCCCAAAACCAGCATACTGTCACTAATTGTTAAACTCAGTAATTAGCATAAGAATTAGGCAGTATTGTATACTTTAGTACAGAGAAGCTGTAATACTTTTACTTATAACTTTGTCAATAGTAAGTGGATTGCAGTAAATGACCCATCATTTTAAAGCTCACAAATGTGGAGACTAAGAATATATTACAAATTTTCCTCTTTTTTTTTTTTTGGTCACTGATTCTGGTTTTGGGATGGCCTCCAATAAGAAAACAAAGTTTTATTTTTATTTTATGATCTTTAAAAAGTTTGCTAAACAAGGTATTAAAAAAATCTTGCCATAGCAGTAGAGTGGAGCTGTAGAATGATTTCCTTTCAATCCCAAGATCCTGTGTTAAAATCCATTCAAAAACCTGGCAAGCTTTTCTCATGAAACAAAAAACAGATTCTTTCCCGAACCCATGGAATTTTAGCCACTTTTAGTAATTGTTATAAAATTGAAATGGTGAAGAACTCCACCTTAACCAATGCTCCTTAGATATGTTGGTTGGAATAGGTATTGCTTGTACTGTGAAAATTGTCACAAGTGGCAAGAGTTGTTTTCAGGTGAGTGAAACCTCTTACTATATAAACTAAAGCCCAGTCCAGATTATAATAAAATGGTGACATGACTAAATATGTTCATGATGACATCACATCATGGCCATATATAGACACAACATGACTATATATGGGCATACAACTGGGTTTTTTTTTCATTAAAGGATATTTGATAGTTTGGACAGAGCTTAAACTGATACTTAAATAGGAGCTGATTGTCAATTTCAACAAATAATATAGATTTTCCTTGAAGTGGCATAAAGGTGGAGAGGGATAGAGTTTTTTGTTGGAGCTTCGGGGATAGGTCTAGATCATCCAGGAGGCATAGTAGGTGTGGCTGTGTATGCAGTGGACTGTAACAATGAAATTTACTATTCTGAAAAAAAGGGGAGCATAATTTTCCCATCCGTTTTCCTTCTTCATCCACCTCCACATTTGTCCTAATTAGTACTGGCCAGTGAGTTCCTTCAGATGTAAAACGTCCTTCAAACCAAGGAGGTGTACCTCCTTGCTTAAACACACACAACTCTATGTGAGGGTTAGGTTTACATATTGCTTTCCTCACATGTTTGATCGTTGTGATAGAATATTTTTGACCCTTTATTTTTTTTTTTTTAATACATTTTAGATCAATCACACAAACCTGCAAGATATCCTCGCTCTGTTCCTGTTACTTAGTTTGTTGTCTTCGCTCTTCATTATGCTGGTCGCCAAGTTCAAGGCTTCGCGAGCATACAGTGCCTTCCTCTTCTCCCTGTATGCTTTATTCCTAACATTTGCTATACTGGTTGAAACCAATGTCATATCTTGGGAGTATACATCATAGGAAACTTGTCAATAACAGGCCACAAAATCTCATTAATCTCGTTGCCATTGCATAGGTAATGTTTAAATCCATAAATGTGATTACAAGTTATTTAAAGTAATCAGATTGTGTTATATGGAAGATAAATCTAATGCAGGATGTAATGATAATTCAATATAATGATGAATACATTAGGAACTCAGGTGAAGTGAATTTTTTTGCATATGATTATGTTAAACATCAGGCAAGTAACAGTGCTGCACAATTTAACATCGTACAGATAATGATTACTTTCTATCTACAAAATACTGGGAATTACATTGTTCACTTGCTTACAATAAGTGAAAAAATTAATGCAATAGAAACAATAACAATATTTTTTGGTGTCTGTAGTAATCAGAAATTGGATTTGACCATTGTGCTGCCCCATTTAAACCATCTTCCTTGGTATCTCATCAGTACTTTGTGTATTATAGCAATAAAAATATGTAGTTCATTTCCTATAGAAATTGAAAATCAGGAAGAGTGAAAAACTCTATTAATAAACAGTATTTGTGTTGCTGCTGAAAATTGTCACAAAATACTGTTGTACTGCATGACAACCCCTTAACGATTGCATGTTTTAAATGTATATAACTGTATTTTCTTTTGGGCCCCATATCTGTAGCATTTTTTGATAACCCTTTAAAATTAACATTTCAAATTGTGCTGCTGAAATGAGGCCTAAAACTTGTTTTACTCATTTTGTCTCATAGAGACTTGGTTATAAGGCAGCATCCATTCCTCTAAGTAGTTGTGAAGGGAGGAGTGATTGAGAATTAGTTACTATAAGAGCTCTAGTTAATATTCATAGTGATAAGTTATGGTAATGCAAATAAGATGTTTATTCATCTTTATTTCACAGTGGTAAAAGCCCCTACAACAATGAAGCTGTGTTATAGGGGCCCTTAAAAAGTAATAGAGTGAATTTACAAATATATTCTTAATATAAATTCATTCCTTCACTGTGAATATAAAAACAAAACAATATAGTAGCATCTAGCAACTTACAAAATACAGTACTATGACTAAGTAATTAGTGCAATGGTTTTGATTCCAAACACAGTTACCAACCTGAGGGGGTGGGGGCTGGGCCCCCGGGTTTCATTCACATAGTTGCGACTACTAGATTCTACTAAGTGCGTGGTTTTCTGGTTTGTTATTACATAACTTAACTAATAGCAATACATAGTAGAGAGATTTTTTAAATTTTCTATATGAAAGATGCAGAGTGGCATTGAGATTTAGTTTGACAATCAGATTGAGAGTGACAATGAGGACGAAAAGATTTAGAGTGACACAGAATTTGGGGCTGATGATCAGAGTGAGAGTGACAAGTTGAGAGCAAGTGTGGGGCTGATAGTCAGATTTGTGAGCGACTATTAGATGGTGTGAGTTTGGGGATGATCATCAGATTGAGAGTAGTTGTGAGTGACAATTAGAGAGTGAGTTTGGAGCTAATGATCAGATTGAGAGTGACAAGTTGAGAGCAACAAGTTGAGAACAAGTTTAAGGCTGATGATCAGATTGAGAGTAGTTGTGAGTGACAAGTTGAGAACGAGTTTGAGGCTGATGATCAGATTGAGGGTGAGTTTAAGGCTGATGGTCAGATTGAGAGCAAGATTAAGGCTGATGATCAGGTAGAGGGTGAGTTTAAGGCTGATAATCAGATTGAGAGTGAGTTTGAGGCTGATGATCAGATTGAGGGTGAGTTTGAGGCTGATGATCAAACTAAGAGTGAGTTTGAGGCTGATGATCACATTGAAAGTGAACAGTTGAGAGCGAGTTTGGGGCTGTCAGATTAAGATAGAGAGAAAGTTTGAGGCTGATGATCACATTGAGAGTGACAATTAGAGGGTGAGTAGGGCTGATGAACAGAATGATAGCGAGTTTGAAGCTGATGAACAGAATGATAGCGAGTTTGAAGCTGATGATCAGAATGATAGCGAGTTTGAAGCTGATGAACAGAATGATAGAGTTTGAAACTGATGAACAGAATGATAGAGTTTGAAACTAATGAACAGAATGATAGAGTTTGAAACTAATGAACAGAATGATAGCGAGTTTGAAACTAATGAACAGAAT